TCTGCCAGGACATTTCTTATCTCACAACACAGTTCCATCTACCATTGCGTGTAAAAATGTCTTCACCATTCCCAGCTTTAAGCTGAACGAAAAGACAGTTATAAGATTAACACCTTCAAAATTCCATAACCACAAAGGATATCTGAAATGATATAGGATAAACGGTAATGACCAACCATGGGGGCTGCAGTACCCTACCATCAACTTATGTGAAACTTCTAGCAATTGTAATCCCACATGCCTTCAGCATGGACTCTACATCATAGTTGCTTCTCTGCAGTAACTACGCAATTTGACATGAAAAAAGAACAGTTTAAGAAAACCTCGGCAATAACCCAACTTGCTAGGCCCAATTTGACAAGAGCGCAGGATTACACCTTTTCAGTAGGTATAGTAGGATTCAAATGGTTATCGAGCCAGAACATTTTGCCCTGGAGAAATATCTGTGTTAGGACAAATAACAAGAAGACTGCAAGATTAAGCCCATTATTTGCAGAAAAAACATAGATTATACCTTGACAACGAATTGAGGTAATCTCAGAACCTGTCACATCAATGCCTTCATCACTTAGTAATGTAATGCCTGATGACTCAACAACGAATGGAAATGATACTGCTAGAGACATAGGTGATTTTGCCACCTTGATGAACCTGTGGCCTATGGAGAACACAGTTTATAATTATTTCATCTAAAATGATATGATGGATAAATGTGAAGTTGCTATTTGGTTAGTAAAATAGTAAGTGACGAAGACTAAACATGATAGCAAAAAGAGGATATTTTAGTAAGCAAAAATGCACACCTTCAGGAACTCATATAAACATTTTACTGTCAGAGCAAGCCTCCTAAACATAGATGCAATTTTCTTTCATCACTAGGCATATTCATATCCTAGCATTTTTACCAAGTGATGTCAATTTGCCATATTATGATGCAGCACTAAATGTTACTCACCGTTGTACTGCTATGCTGCAAGATGTATTAAAAAAAGCAATGCATTTTTAGAAGTTCCTCACGTTTAGTTGTGCTTCTGCACACTTCAAGCAAACATCAAAACTGAAGTCAGGTTCTAAGATAAAACTAATGTCATGCAATCATAACTAGGCAGCATATCAAACCAGTTGAAATTAAAATATAGAAAAAAGCACCAAGCATCCATATGATCTTAGTAATAGGTACTGATTGACTGATGTGATACGAATTCAAAAATCAAGGTATGAGTGTTGGGAACTTGCGATCCATCAATGGCAGATGAAAAGAGAACATAAACCCCTTCTGTATTTAGAAAAATATCAGGACAAACCTGAATGAGATTCAAAGACTAGACGGACAGTTACAGCATGAGCCCACTGAATCCCTACTGTAGCAACAAGATGAGAATCAAACCTTTCAGCACAGTTATTACCATCCTTTCTGTCCACTGCAGATGATTTTGACGGATAGTTTAGTCAAGTTCGACAAATTATCTAAAACATAGCCGTTATAGGAAGAAAGTCCAAACCTTCAAAGGAAAAATGGTAACCATCATCATTACTTTGGTTGCGTACTTGGTTTGTAACCACGACTGGAATTCTTGAGAACTCTGCTATAGACCTGCACAAGGAAAAAAAGAACGAGAAGAAATAAAAGGTATTTCAGCAGAATGAGTATTGGTAAACTAAAACATTATAGAGAAAGTTCTGTGAGCATTAAAAGACTGGGAAACACACTTAACAAAAGAAAGGGTCCATCTTAAAGGGTGTTGCCTAAAACCTGCTGTAGCGTTCTCATTTTCTCTATTGCAGACAGGATGTAACAGAGGATTAGTTTTCTATCAACTGATAGCATAACTATTCAGGAACTATAAACTCAGCTTATGTAAAAACCTAAAGGCTACACATGTGAAATGCTTCTAAACATAACAAGCATTAGAGGTGTAGCAGTCAGTGACATAGCACAGAAACTAATCCATTAGATAGCAGCCGTGGCTCTTGTTTTGCTACAACAATAGCAGTTTGGACATTATGCTATTCTATAGTCAAACATACTACAATCTGAAATTGGACATTTTGACGGTCTGGTTGCCAGCAAAAGAATATACTTATATATGTAGAACAGTGTCTACAAGAATACAATTCAACCTTTTAAAATATACAGCAAGTTATTTGAAAACTAAACTAAGGAATTCCATGTCCATAGCTTACAGCGACATAAGAGTAGCCATGCTATCAACAATGAGTAACTTCACATCATGCTGAAGAAGAGTCACCTTCATCTCTTCCAAACTGTAGAAAGACAGTAAAAGAAAGGGGGAACAGTGTTAGCACAACATGTCAAGTTTAGTGAGGAGCATAAACCTAAAGCACAGGATCTAAACTATGATGGCGTGAGATTGAGCAGAAAAGCTTTCCAAATTTTCAATAGCATGGTACTAGAATCTCAAAGATACGTTAAGGAACTCGGTCCTTCATGTGCCTAAGAACTAAAATACTCAAAATATCAGTCCATTACCGGTATATTTTGCAAATAAAGGAAAGAGCGCTGGTAATGAAGTTCATTGATTTCAAGAACAGCTATACCTCTTGGTGAAATTAGCTAAAGATGTTGGTCGCGTTACTAGGATCCTCCCAGTCATCTGAAAAATAAACAAAGGATATGAAACAACAGGCAAGACATTTCAGGCTTGTGAGAACAGTACTACAAGAACTGAAAGAAATATTAGCAAGGTTCCCAAGCTTGGTCACCAAATGAGCGCATACAATTGAAGCATTCTCGGAATTAAACCATCCCATTGCATCACAACAAACCAAATTCGTGACCATCTCATTGCATCACTACAAAGTAAAAACCAAATTACTTTCATCCCGTTGCATCACTACAAACCAAATTACTTTCAAACCATCCCCTTGCATCACTACAAAGTACAAAACAAAATACTTAGGTTTGCGATCCTAAAATGAGTGAACAACGGAAAGCACAGATTCGCGGAAATTCTCGGTAAAAGGGAAAGTGGATCGATCGAACGTAGTGAGGCGGATCGGGACTACAGATACCGCGGAGACCCCCGCCGCAGCAACGCCGGCGTGAGGGGTTCTGGGGCGGTGAAGGGAGAGGCGATGAAGGGAGGAGATGGGGACCCGGTGGAGAGGAGAGCGACGGTGGAGAAGACGACGACGGGGGAGGCTGGCAGGGCTTGCTTGATTCGCGTTAGCACAGAAAGCCGAGCAGTAGGGGTTTGGAGGAGGAATGGACAGACCTGAGCGGCGGCGCCCGATGTTCCGCTTCCGTAACCAGCAAGGGCGCCTGGGGGGATGGGGAAGCGGTGGCCGCACGCCGCCGCGTACGCCGCGTCCGCACCGCGCAGGAGGTTTCGCGCTGCCATGCCGCCGCCGCCGCTTCTTCCCCGTGGACCTCGTGTCACTGTCAGGACTCAGGACGGAAGCGTGGTGTTCGCGGGTGCGGTCTGCGGTGCCGGACCCAATAACGAAAATCGGAAACAATAACAACGAAACAGAGCACACGGATCGCAAACTCCATCCAACGGCCCCAAGCGTCGCCTGAAGACACGCAGGATTTCAGGCGACTGGGGAATGGGAAATATAAGACGATCAATTGGTCGTTTACGAAAATTGTACGTATATAGAAGGAAGGACAGGACGGAACCACAGTGCTCAGGAGTCGATGTTGATACTGCGCCACCCAAAGTCGCCACACGCCTGGGTGTCCTCGAACACCTGGTACGGCGTGCCGGCGCAGCCAGTCCAGGTGTAGAGCGTGGCCGTCTCGCCCCGGTAGTGGAACTCTTGCCCGGCGTAGAACACGAGGTCGGTGCACCCGCACGCCCCGATGGTTGACGTATCCCCCGAGCAGTCTGCCGCGCTCCACGTCGTGAGAGAGCTCGGGGTACCCGACGAGTCCTTCGCCGCGACGCCTGCCACGGCCACCGCCATCACGACGACGATGGCCATCAATGGCGCCGTGGGAATCGCTCTGCACTTTCCGGCCATAGCTAACTAGTGTGCAGTGGAACTTGTGGAAGTGGAGTGACTGCTGAGCTGAGCACCTGTGAGATCTTGATTGGTAGTATAGGCGATTTTATAGGCGAGCTCCCATGCACCCATTTTGAGTGTATCGATCGGCATCAGCTACTAGTTCAGCGCCGCCGGCTGTAATTGGTCCGAGCGGATTTCCCAAGATGGCGTCCTGAACAGAAATTGTCTCATTGGATTATTGAAAACGGATCAAAAACAAAATTGGCAGCGATGAATTACTATCGAATATGCTCCCAGCTGCCGACTCTCGCCGGCAGAATCGATCCATCTTTTGTTGCCAAGAAACAGACGATCCACATGCATGCAAAGGGTCGAAAAAACAAATCCAAATCCAATCCAATCGATGCACTTGGCGAGGCTTTATTCCCCTTGGCCCTTACCAATCAGTTGGAGGAGCCTCCTTTCGACACCGGTCCCAAAAGCCAAGATGCCCCCGCGCGGCCGCGCCGCGCGCCACGTACTCCCAGCACGACGCCGTCGCCTCCACCCGCACCCCCTCCATTTCCAAGCTCCAACCACCAGCTCATCTTTGTACGGCGTCTCACATGGCCTCGCACGCCTCGCCTCGTCAGCCGGACGCTCCGCAGCGACAGGCCGCCACTGACTACACGTAATCCCTCCACTAGCTGCCTCTTTTTTCTAATCGGCGGCCGTGGCGTGTGAGCCCTGAATCAGCTACAGACTCTCGTGCGCTCCGGTCATCCGTCGGCGAAAAGCGCGCACGGCGACGGATCCGAACCTCAAAAGCGAGGACCGGCCGCGCGCACATGCCGACATGCATCCATGTCCAGGATATGCAAGGATCATCCATCCCATGCCCCACGTCCATGGCGTTGCCTTTTTGGTGCGTGTATATTAACCCCCGCGCGGGCTGTTCTTGCGGTTAACCGCACACTGATCTCTCGAGCAGTCCAGCTCAGGCTCTGAGTTGGTGTTCCAGGCGATAGCTAGCTTGGCACAATCATCCGATGGCGGACATGCAGATTGTCCTGGCTGGGAGGAAGATCGATGCGCAGTATGTGGAGATGAAGGTGCCGCTCTACTCCTACGGGTGCGAGAAGAAGATCAAGAAGGTGCTGTCACATCTCAAAGGTGCTTACATAGATCTTGAACTGGTCTGTGCGTTACGTACAAAACAGTGTGCATCGTCAAGTGAAAATCAGGCTAACCGCTGACCGTGTGCTTCTGGGACGTGTTTGTTTTGCAGGTATACATTCAGTTCAGGTAGACTACCACCAGCAGAAGGTGATGGTGTGGGGGATCTGCAACCGCGACGACGTGCTCGCCGCCGTCCGGAAGAAGCCCCGAGACGCGCGGTTCTGGAACGGTGACGAACTGGGCCCAGGCGAGCATGTGCCGACGCCCGGAGAAGCTCCGAAGAAGTACCTGGCAGCCTTCACCGCCTACAGGTTGAGGAAGTCGTGGAAGAAGCTTTTCCCGCTGATCCGGCTCTGAATCTGACCGTGCGCTTAAGCTTATTAGCTTTTTGGACAAGTGACTAGTGTGTGTGCCTGCTTCTTGAGGACGTCTCAGGAACCACGAAAGGGGTTCTAACTTAACAGTAGTGCGTGCATGTTGATAGCGAATAAATGTGCTCTGTTATTGACTCGTGAAATCACAAGGAGATGCCGTTTGCACGGATCAAATGAAGCTCGAGTAGGCAATAGTCCATTGTTTTAGCTTTGCATTGGCTGGAGAGGAACTGAGGCAGCGAACTAAAGTTATTCTTCTGTTCGACACGTGTCCTATTGTTTCCATAACGGACTAACGTCCGATCCAGACGCTAGCGTCCGAAGGTGCCCGCATAGGGAGTGAGCGCACCAACAGTAGGCCTGCGCCACCCCGGACGTTGCCCGCGCCACCAGCTGCTTTCCACGCACATCCCATGTACAACATCTAATCTACTTTTGAAACATCCAAATACTACAGTTGCAACATACAAAAGAAGATTGATGAACCACTTGAAATAAGCGTTTGAAACACTTGCGAAAACACCTAAAAAATATTTGAAAACTATTGTAAGCATATGCAACATCCAGATAAAACACTTCCAAACATACGTACGAAACACCTGAAAACACTTGAAACATATATTTGCAACATGTATGTATATGTAACATCCAGATATACTTTTGCAACATCCAGATAAAATAATTGCAATATACGTCTAGAACAGATGAAACATTTAGAACATACACTTGAAACATACGTGTAAAGTCATTACAACATGGACAACATTCCGATTTACTTTTGTAATATCAATATAGAACGCTTGCAACATACCTATAAAACATTTGAAACATACATTTTGCAACATGGGGTTTTCACCCTTCTTCCATACAACACAACACAGAGCGGGGGAACTGCCGATTCTGGCAAGCCGGTGGCCAAGGATAGTGGCATGGCCTGGCAGTAGCCAGCTGCGCCTACGCCTGGCTTGGGCCCAGCTAGCGACGGTCATCTCTCCTAGCCGCCTGGCCACCAACGGCGCCCAGTGCCTGCACGCCTTTGTGGCTGCTGCTGGCGGGCACAGGAGGAAGATGTAGTCATGGAAGGCGGTCAGCGACGAAGGAGAAAGGCGAGCATGGTGCCGCCAGCCACAAACGCCCCAACCTAGTGCCACGTCAGGAAGACAAGAAGCGGTGTGGGAGAGAAATATGTCAGGTAGAGACTGTTGGCCATCGGTATGAGCTAGATCCAATTAAAATAGCTTCTAATAGGAAAAACCATTCGAACGCCCGCGCAGGAGCATTTCTGTTTCCATAATTCCATTAGAATCTTATGGAAAAGAAACAGAAAGTTTGCATCTCACTCTAGTGTTCCAACACCTGATTCTTCTCTCTTATCTTCCTCTTCCTCTGTTCTTCTCCAAATTCGGCCGGTCTTAGAAGAAATTTTTGGGAGACAGGTAGGCAAGGCGGTGGGGGACAGGAGAGACGGCGGTGAGGCGGAGGCAACAGTGACGCCGCTGGAGTGGATGGCGGAGGAAGTGGCCAGGGCGAGGTTGGGGGCGGGGGCGGCCATGGCCATGACGGTGACAGAGAAAGGGGAGAAGGAAGTCGCTATGGGTGTGGCGAGGTCTTGTCGGAGCTCCGCGGCCGCGAAACTCTGGCGATGGACAATGTAAGGCGGCGACGTGTTAGGAGGAGGATGAAGACGTGAAGCAAAAAATCGAGTGTCCTAGGCGGTTAAGACACTCAAGTGTTCTGTAGACATACTCAAAAGAAAAACTATTGCTAATATGTCGGGCTCGACATTAACTTTGGGGTTTTAGATAGTTGGGCCCATATACCCAAGCCCAAAAATGATAGGCTTATCTCTATCTTGAGGGCCTGCTTGAAACACATGATTTTTTTTTTGTTTCTACGTTTTTTCTATAAAATTAAATTGATTCCTATAAAATTCATGTATGATTCCTGTAAAATTACTATGTTCCAAACAGGCCGTGTATGATTCCTGTAAAATTACTGCGTTTTAAACAGGTTGTGTATGATTCTGTAAAATTACTGCATTTCAAAGAGCCTGAACACTCGAGACCTGAAGAACTGAGAAGCACGCAAGTACGCAACTGAATAAGCAAGAGCATTCGGCTTGGTCTCACAGTACTGAGAGGCACGCGAGTAAAGAGCAACTTTTGACAGAGTAGGGTGGCTGGCCTGCGGGTCAGAGTGGTGGCGAGCGTAGGCTCGTCTTTGTAATTCTGTAATATTGTTTTTTTCTCTTTTTCTCGTTTAATAAAAATCTAACAAAAACCTTTGCCGCCTTTAGAAAAAAAGAGCAACTTTTGAGTGTCTTTATTTTAAAAACAAGAAAAGAAAAGGTATCCTTGGCCAGCAGTACTGACTGAAAAATTCTTAGTTCCGTGCCCAAGTTCATACCAGTCGAGGAAGTCGGTGCATCCTTGAGACAAACGGGCAAACGACGTTTTGGCGACGGGATTTGCCTCAGCATACAGTCGCTGCGGAGTGGTGTTGGTGCGGAATCTGTCATCTACTGTCAACCTAGGATCACTGTCACCTTGTTCTAATCGGCAGACCACTTGCCACGCTCAACAAAGAGAGAGAGAGAGAAAAGAGCATTACTCAGTCCAACAATCCCTATCAGTGGCTACATAAGCATGTCCAGAGGTGTCCAGATATTTCTCGGCCAGCTAAAGCCGGTGAAACCGTGAAGGTGACGCATCGTACTGGCATGGTACAGCGAAAAGTATCGTACCGCGCAATATCCAGACACTGAGACACGTATGGAGCTCAAGAAAGTGTCGAAGAAAGTCTTCCCATGGTTCATGTTACCAGGAATATTTACAGAAACAAATGAGTCCTCGAAGACAGTATTAATCCTTTACAGCACCGTGTAGCCAAGAGCTGACAAAACGAAAGCGAGAAACGAATGAAGCACACCGTGGATCATTGATCAACAACCTATCTGTATTCAGCTAGCTGCCTCAGGCACAGGCTGGTGGGTGGCCATGGCGGGCCAGCTGAAAGCCCTGAAATGAAGCCGATCAGCCTCGGGTGGTGACGTGGAGGGCGTGCAGCGGCGGCGGCGGGGGCAGAGGCGGCGGCACGAAGGGGAGGCTCCGCAGCATGAGGAAGCGCATCCGGCGCGGGAACGGCGCGTCGGTGAGGAGCTGCTCCAGCACCCGGGCCACCAGCGCGGTGTACTCCTCCAGCAGCTCCGCCACTATCCCCACGAGAATCATTGCTGCAAGGAAGGAAATGAACCTGCTTCCACTCTCTGGGATTGGATTGGATTGGATTGGTCTTGGACAGCGGACCCGGAATTTTGGATGTGGACTTGCATCGTCGGAGCGGGGCGGTCGAGGCTTTTAAAAGGGGTCGGGTTTCTGGGATTGGGGGAGGGAGATGACGATGAGATCAGGCGGGGAAGCTGGTCTCGCTGCGTGTCGCGTCCGGTGGGCAGCGGCGCGCCCTGGTTTGATGTGACCCGGTGGCGCGCGGCTGGTATGCGCTAGAAGCCGAGGAAAGAAACGGTTCGGTTTGGTTCGCTTTCGAGCGTCGGCCCGTGGTTTGGTTGGGGGATCCAGAAACAGCGCACGGTGTCGCGTCAGGCCGCGAGCATACCCGATGTAACGGCGCCGCGGGCTCAACTCTCGCGGCTGCACGCCTGCGCCACGGGCCACGGCCGCGGTTTCCACGGGCCCCAGCACCAGAAGCCGCTCGGCAGATTGCTGCCCATGGTTGGTGGCTTCAAACAAATACTACTGCACAATACTATTGCATCATAGTAGTACAGTATTAATTATGCATTGTGTAATAATCATAAAAAGGACGTGCATTTTTTTAGGGAGCAAGTAGGAATTCAGCCATTCAGGGGGGAGGGGGGCTCCGGCTGGGAGCGGTGAGCCTACCCAGGTTTGCGGGGTCCTGCCGACGAATGTACGTACAGAGAAGAGAAGACAAGGGACGTGGTGTTTCGGATGAGACGCCGGCCCTGTTCGGCTGGCTGGAAAAACAGCCAATGCGGATACTGATACTAATTTATTGTAAGAGAAAAATACTATTATTTTGCTGAAAAAGTACGGCTATAAGTTCAACCGAACATGGCCGTCGCTTTTGTGAGCATCGCCTGCGTGGACAAGTGTTGTCATATTTGGTCCTGTGGGGAGGCAACATGGTGGTGCTATTTTTACCAGACAGCCGAACATTGATTTTGTTCAGCTGAATTCTTGTTCTTGGCGAGGAACGACAAAGGTCATCGAGTAAAAATGAGTTTTGTCAAACCCTCCAGTCAAAAGATTTTAAATTTTAAGGTCCAACTTTTAACCTAGGACCAACATGTAGCTATAATAGTTTTGTTATTTGGACCATATTAGATAGATTTGGACTTAACAATTACATTGGATTAGACAGTAACCGTTTTGTATTGTGGTAGGTTTGTACTTTGGTTTTTTTATATATATTCTGGGATTTTAATTAGATTTCTCTATTCGGATTTGGATCTTAAGCCATTATCACGTCTACTATGTTGCAGGCCTTGGAGACTACGGCGATGCATAGTTTCTCACCACGTCTGGACATAGGAACAACAGGATATGTTCGCAACAAATTGTCCTGGAAGAGTTTTGTGGTGCTGTGCTTTTTTACTTGATCAACATCATGTTTTGTGTGATGAACCTTACGATGCTTTGGATGAAGGAAAGGTGGAATTTATTTTTTCCATTTTCTATAAAATCTCTTCTCAGATTTAGGAGGGGAAAGACAGGAAATCTGAATGGATTACTGACGATGATATCGTGAAATCCAGAAGAAAAACAAGATGAATCAACTGTTGCCTGCACGTAGGCCTTGTGAACGCTTTCGATGTTCACCTTGGCCCGACCGGCCCGCGAGATCGATTGGGCTCCTCGACCATTCCTATGAGAATATCGAGCAATCTGGGCTTATGAAACACATATGGTTGATCTGCGTTCGTTGCATCTCGCGGCCCAGGGG